TTGTTTGACTAGAGAGTCCAGGCTCTTAATACCGCATCTGTAATACATGGTGTGACTTTAAAATGGGAAGGCATCATGGTGGGTGAATTGGCCAGGAAGGCTTTATAAGAGAGAGGCCTTGAGCTGGACTTATTTTTTTTTATTTTTAAAAATATTTTATTTATTTATTCATGAGAGACACAGAGAAAGAGGCAGAGACATGGGCAGAGGAAGAAGCAGTTTCCCTGCAGGGAGCCTGATTTGGAATTCCATCCCAGGATCCTGGGATAACGACCTGAGCTGAAGGTAGACACTCAACCAGTGAGCCACCCAGGTGCCCCACTTACTGTTTTTGTACTACCAACCAAATATTTTTTTGTTTCACTCTAATCCCAGTATTTTTGGCCATGTATGTGAGTTATGTGAGTTATATAAGCTTTATAGGTGGGCCATCCTGGGACCCTCGCCACATTTATAGCATTGTTTCCCCCCCCCTCCAAAATACATTCTTGATTTGTAGGCAGCATGGGCCACTAACTGAATTGAGAAGCGGAAAATTTTGGAATTTTGGTGCTAGCTGGCCTCAGACTCATAATGTGACCTTGTGTAAGTTCATTTGCCTCTCTGGACTTCAGTTTCTCCATAATAAAATGAGAGGGTTGAAATGGATCAGTAGTTCTCAACCCTATCACATTGATGTCCTTATTTATTTATTTATTTATTTATTTATTTATTTATTTGCCAGAGAGAGAGAGAGCATGTGTGTGTATACAGGGGGAAGGTGGGGGGAAGCAGACTCTGTGCTGAGCTCGGAGCCCCATGTGGGGTCTTGATCCAATTCTGAGTTCCTGACCTGAGCTGAAACCAAGAGTCAGACATGCTCAACTGACTGAACTGCCCAGGCGCCCCTGACGTCCTATTTTAATATCAAATGTTTTTGCAGTTTCCCTTTACTACTGTCAATTCGTATTTATAGGTACTGTATGATTGAACCTGTCTATATGCATGGTTTTAATAAACATCAGTGTAACACTCTAATTATAACAAAATAAAAAGAAAATAATTTCAAATAAAATAGCATGTAGTTCAGTGCATATTTCAGCCCATGTCTGGTGCCTGCGCCAATGTGTATGATCACTGTAAACGTGACAGCTGTGGATGCAGATGAATACGAGACTTGTACATTGGTAGCGCAAGTACCACATATTTCCAAATGATGGCATGGTATCTTGAAATGTTGATCAATTTTGGTAAAGTTTCAATCCAGGGGTGCCTGGCTGGCTCAGTCGGTAGAGCATGCTACTCTCGATCTTGGGGTTGTGAGCTCTACATTGGGGAGAGAGATTACCTGAAAAAATACTTTAAGAAAAGTTTCAAAGCAAGCATAGCACCCTTTCCCCTCAATTTACATGGTAGTTGCATTCCACGAAAAAGTCAATGTACATTAAAAACTTGTAAAGAATACTTTATCTGTGCAATGGAATTAGAATCAAGGCATGGATAATAATCAGCAGCAGTTTTTCACTCACACTACATTGGATGGTGCATTTTGGACGTTTTTCTTAATTCTTTGTGGGGCTGGTCTCTGAGGGCACTGCAGGAAGTCTGGCATTGTATGCTGCATAATTCCAGAAGCATCCCTGCACATTTTCATTATGCCCTCTAGGGGGTGCTGCTCCCCCTGTTGAAAACATCTGGACTAGAAGAAGCCCTAGCTGACTGCCCATTGGATTCTTGGAGGCTCTGCATGTTTGTTGAGTAGATCCATGGTGAAATATTGTGTCAGGACTCGAGTCCTGTCTTTGCTTCTACCTCTGCTGTTTGTGCCTGTAATATAAACAACACTGAAGACTAGTTTACCTCATGGGATTTTATGAGAATTGTTATGTCTTATAAAAGATTTTGAAACTCTGGTGTGTAAAGAAGCAGAATAACTCAGGAGTTTTTGGTGGATTAAGGAAGTAGGTTCCACCACTTAGTTATCTGTCTGCATTGATCAGTTTGTTCTCAAAGGTGCCTTAGGTTCTTTCAGTAGTTTATTTTCTGAGGGAAGAGTAATATGTGTTATGGCCTGTTATTTCCAGCAGATGGCAATGTTTGGTGCAGAACTGCTGGTTTCACCACTGCAGATTTCTCTCGGCTTTCTTTGTATTTAAAATCCAAACTTCAAAAATAAATAAATAAATAAATAAATAAATAAATAAATAAATAAATAAATAAATAAATAAATAAATAAATAAAATAAAATAAAATAAAATCCAAACTTCATGTTGCGTATTTGGAAGTATCTCTCCTTTCTGAAAGGCTTGATATGAGTTATCTTGCTTAAGGCAATAGATAGGCTGGTGAAGAAGATACCTGTAATCCAGATTCATACAAATCAAGTCACATTTTACTATAGAAACGATATTAGAATGGCTAGGATACATTCTTTTATGCAATGAGTATTTATCCCTTGATTTGTCTATAAATTCTGATTTCCTGATAGGCTTTACATAATATTTTATTTTGAAACAATTTCAGACTACAGAAAGATCACCAGAACAATACAAAGAACCCCCATAGTCCCTTTAAATCAGATGCCCCAATTGTTACCATTTAACTCATTTGCTGCTTTGTTCACCCTTCTCTGTGTGTCCATTAGTATTAGCCTTTTTCTGAATCTTTAGAGAGGTAGGTGTTCTATCATTCCTAAACACTCCAGTCTTTCCCCTAAAAAGATCACTTTCCGGGTAGCCCGGGTGGCTCAGGGGTTTAGCGCCGCCTTCAGCCCAGGGCGTGATCCTGGAGACCCAAGATCAGGCTCCCTGCGTGGAGCCTGCTTCTCCCTCTGCCTGTGTCTCTGCCTCTCTCTCTGTGTGTCTCTCATGAATAAATAAAGTCTTAAAAAATAAAAAAATAAAAAGATCACTTTCCTATTAGCACATCATATAACTAGCACATAACTCTCCAAATCATGCATTGGTATCACATTACCATCCGGTCCACATCCATCCATTCAAATGTCACTGGCTGGCCAACAATGTCACTTTTCCCCTTTGTGGTTTGAGATCCCATCCAGGATTATGTGTTGTTTAGTTCTGATCTCCAATCCAGACCAGTTCTTCCATCTTTCTCTGTCTTTCACATCCTTGAAATTTTTATAAAGACTTTACAATCTGCAGGATGACCATTAATCTGGGTCTGTCTGATGGTTCTTTATGACCAGGCTCAGGCCATATATTCTAGGCAGAGATTATACTGCAGAAGTGATACTGTACATTAGAAGGCACTTGATGTCAACCTACCCCGTCACTGGTAATGTTAACTGCGATCACCTGGTCATTAGGTTTTAACTAAAATCCACTGTTGAATTAAAACCCAATGAAAATCCATCATTTAGATTATTATAAATTTATATATATATATTTAAATTTTAAGATTTTATTTATTCATGAGAGATACGGAGAGAGAGAGAGAGGCAGAGAGACACAGGCAGAGGGAGAAGCAGGCTCCAGGCAGGGAGCCCGATGTGGGACTCGATCCTTGGACTCCAGGATCAGGCCCTGGGCTGAAGGCAAATACTAAACTGCTAAGCCACCTGGGGATCCCTAAATTTTTATATTTTTAAGTAGGCTCACCACCCAACGTGTGGCTCAAACTCACAACCCTGAAATCAAGAGTTGCATGCATGCTCTACTGACTGAGCCAGCCAGGTGCCCCTTAGGGTCATTTTTTTTTTAAAGTTGTACACATTAAGGACACCTGGCTGGATGCAGCTCTTGATCTCAGGGTTTTGAGTTCAAGACCCATGCTGGGCATGAAGCTTTCTTATAAAAAAAAAAAAAGAAAAGCAGTGCACATTGAGTTTCTCCATCCTCCAATTCTAAACTTCAGAAAAAAACACCTAAAATACACCCAATTTAAAATAATAAGTCATTTCAAATACTACTTGGTCTATTTGTACCAGCATTTTTCTTTTGCTAAGAGCATGTTATTGATTTGAGGGGTGATTACTCTGTATTAATGGTGTAAATATTTACTGGGGATTACCAGTTAAGATTTTCATCTACTGGGGATATTTTATAAGAATGCTACTGATATGGGATGCCTGGGCGGCTCAGCGGTTGAGGACCTGCCTTCAGCCCCGGGCGTGATCCTGGAGTCCTGGGATGTAGTCCCGCATCGGGCTCCCTGCATGGAGCCTGCTCCTCCCTCTGTCTGTGTCTCTGCCTCTCTCTCTCTCTCTCTCTCTCTCTCTCTCTCTCTCTCCCTCTCTGTGTCTCTCATGAATAAATAAATAAAATCTTTAAAAAAAAGCTACTGACAGTTTGAATTTGATCGCACATCAGGAAAAACAGCCTGATTGTTTAATTGTATTTTTTGTGGTTTATTCAGTATTGAAAATTACAAAAGTTGAAAACAAAGCATCTTTTATAAACGTATTGCTACTACATCTCAAAACACTTAACATAAAAATGTAGAGTTGCCTGGCTGGCTCAGGCAGAAGAGCACGGGATTCAATCTCAGGGTTGTGAGTTCAAGACCCACATTGGGTGTAGAGATTACTTTAAATAGATGCTCTGTTTTATTTTTAAAATTTTCATTTATCTGAGAGGGAGAGTACGAGCAGGGGGAGGGGCAGGGGGAGAAGGAGGCTCCCCACTGAGCAGAGAGCCCGATGTGGGACTTGATGTGGGTTCGATCCCAGGATCCTAAGAACACAACCTGAGTCGGAGGCAGAAGCTTAACGGACTGAGTCCTCCAAGTGCCCATAAATAGTCTGTTTTTTTTTAAAAAAGATGCTACTTCTGGTGAACAGCAGCAAGCTAAAATTTGTTTCTTCCTAGTCCCTTTCTGCAATGAAGAATACCAGCTAATAAAAAGATGAAATGCCAGGGTTTATCTCATTATTACATGAAGTTAGCAGTAAACAAATGGAGAAAGTACATGCAGAATAACTTTCTGTCTGTCTTAGGATTATAACCAGCAAGAAGTCAGTGAAAGTTTGGTCATATAATTGTATATTTTTGTTTTTTTAGGAAAACAAAAACATCAGGTGGGCATCTAGATGGGATTATATTTTGGAGTCCATGCCTCATACCAACATTCAGTGGTTTAGGTGAGTATTTTAGTTAGATCTTTTATTTTTAAGTTTATTTATTTATTTTCAGTAATCTCTACCCCTAACATGGAGCTTGAACTCATGACCCTGAGATCAAGTCATGTGCTCCCCTGACTGAGCCAGCCAGGCACCCCTAGGTAACATACTTTATGAAATGAAGAATATGTAGCTTGGGTGGGGGGATATGTAAATATTTATATATCTGTATATATAATACAGATTATATAAAATAAAAAAAAATAAATAAATGATTTTATTTATTTTAGAGTGAGAGTGAGCAGGGGGAGGGGATGTCAAGCAGACTCCCTGGTCAGTGTGGAGCCTGATGCAGGGCTCATTTCCAGGACCCTGAGATCATAACCTGGGCAGAAATCAAGAGTCAGATGCTTAGCTGACTGAGCCATTAGGCACCCCTGTACATATATATCTTTATTTAGTTTTTATTTTTTATAAAAGATTTTATTTATTTATTCATGAGAGACATGCCAGGAGCCTGATGCAGGACTTGATCCTGGGTTCAAAAAGTCTGAGCGAAACCGAGAGGGGGAAAGCAGTGAGCAGCTGGGGTACATGCAGGTTGGGATGCCTCAGAGTTGGAGAAGACAGCCAGGAGAAAGGGCAAGGGATTACAGATGAGAAACCAAAACTCGTCAAGGGGACATTCTGCCAGCAGGTCAGACGACAGAGAGGACTGTGTGGAGATAAGGTGTGCGAGTGAAAGGAGGCTCATTCGGCTGGCCTTCTTGCCCAGGGTCTGTTAGGGGGCCGGGCGCTCTGCTGGGCCCTGGGACAGTAAGAGAGGCCTGCAGGCTTCTGCTCCCACGAAGCTCACTACGCTCTCTGGTGGATTCAGAGTGAAAGTGTTGGATTCCTCAGGAATCTGGTCCAAACCAGAGTGAGACTTTTCAGCCTGAGACGGAGGGATGGACCAGCTGAGAAGGTGGGGATTGGGCATGACTGTGGCAAAGGGCTGAGCAAAGGGCTGAGGTCACGGTGCTTGATGTGGGATGGAAGATGACTAGAAAAGTAAAACTATAAGTGAGGAAAGGTGTGATTCTGAGTATGGGCTTTCAAGATGATTTTTTTTTCTATTGCCATTGCCTTTAAAGTGAGAATAGCGGGATGCCTGAGTAGTACAGTTGGTTAAGCCACAGATTCTTGATTTCAGCTCAGGTCATAATCTCAGGGTCGAAGGATTGAGCCCCATATTGGACTTCATGCTCAGTGGGGAGTCTGCTTGAGATTCTCTCTCCCTCTCCCTCTGCCTCTCCCCCACCCTCACCTGCCCTCTCTCTCTCTAAACAAAGAAATCTTTCAAAAAAGTGAGAATGGCATCTCACACTCCTATTTTTCTAGATTTGTTCCTTCTTCTCTTCTTGCTCTCCCTCCTCCTTCTCATCTTCATTATTATGGTCATATTGTAGCTTTTCCACAACGTCTTTTGTTTGGGCAACTGTCCAGGTCCCATTTTGTTATACCCCCAGAAGTCTCTTCAGATAAAATTTATGTAAATGGTTTCTCCAAAGGGACTGTGAAAGCAGAGGGCCTCCAGATACATTGTGGGGACTAATGTCTAGTAGTATTGATATTTATAGTGTAATGAAGAACATACTTTAGTTTCTGTCGTGAGGTAATTTACTTACATTTAACAGACATTTTAGACATCAATCATCTTTTTAGAAAATTTTAATTGAAGTACAGTTGACGTACATTATTATTAGTTTTGGATGTACCACATATTGATTTGACAGTCCTATACTTTACGAAATGCTTACCGTGATGGGTGTAGTTGCCGTCTGTCACCATACACAGTTATTACAATATTATTGACTATATTCCCTGTACTGTACCTTTCATCCCCGGGGCTTGCTTATTTACTTATTTATTTATATCAAAAAGTATAGTTGACACACAATGTTACACTAGTTTCAGGTGTACGACATGGTGATTGGACAAGTCTATAGGTTATGCTGTGCTTTGTTCAAGTGTAGCTGCCATCTGACTCCATAGAGCCCAATTACAGCACCATTGACTATATTCCCTATGCCGTACCTTTCAACCCCATGACTTATTCATGCCATTAACTGGGAACCTGCACCTCCCGCTCTCCTTCACCCATTTTGTCCATCCCTCTAGCCCCCTTCCCCTATGGTAACCACCAGCGACCTGTTTATTTTATAACTGGAAGTGTACCTGCTTCACCTATTTTGGCCTTCCCCACCACCATCTCTACTTTGGCCATTGTAAACCTCAATCATCTTATTGGCACCTTTCTAAAAACAATGCTGGTCTTTTCAGAGATTCTGGTGAAACTTTGTTGATGTGTCTGGGTTTGGCTGGGTGGTGGGATGGCAGAGGCACTGGTTTTGATTTGGGGATAATTTTTAAGTTTTAGTTTTATTTATTATTTGTTTGTTTATTTATTTTTAAAGGTTTTATTTATTTATTTGATAGACACTGAGCATGCTCGAGTTGGGGGAGGGGCAGAGGGAGAGGGAGGAAGCAGACTCCTGGCTGAGTAGGGAGACAGATGTGGGGCTCGATCCCAGGACCCCAGGATCATGACCCGAGCTGAAGGCAGACACCTAACTGACTGAGCCATCCAAGTGCCCCTAAATTTTAGTTTTAGAAATAGTAAGAGCTGGTACGTAAGTTGTCCATGGGATCATTATCCTGAGCTCATAGAATGATAAAGAGAGTACAACCTTGGTCTGTCAGCTAAGAAGTTAGTCAGCCATTATTTCAACCTTGATTCCTGAATTTCCATTCTCAGTTCCATACTCTGGAACTGAGTTTCTGTTATTGATCTTATACACTTCTTACTTCTTTTTGCGAATGTACTCTTAAAAATAATTCTAAAATCCCCTTAAGAATAATAGTGTTGTTTCTACTGCTTTATTTGTAATACACTTTTGTGGTAGAGCTTTAAGTTCATTTAATATATTGATATATTCAGCACTTGATTTTAAGTTTAACCTTGGAAAACTGATCGAGATAATGATAATTTGAATGTCTTTCTTTTATATGTACACACATTTTCTTTGTCCTGTTCAGGAAAGGAACTTGAGATTTAACTTCTGTCTCTCTTTTTCTTCCTTAAATTTTCCAGTATTATGAATTCCTTTGTTATTGTTCTCTTCTTATCTGGGATGGTGGCTATGATTCTATTAAGGACTCTCCACAGAGACATTATCAGATACAATCAGATAAATCCTGTAAGTAAAAATGCACATATTTGATTCAGCACATATTTAAATGCCTACTCTGCCCAGTTGTCAATATAATATATATGTAAAAGATTTTATTTATTTATTCATGAAAGACAGAGAGAGAGGGGGGCAGAGACACAGGCAGAGGGAGAAGCAGGCTCCATGCGGGGAGCCCGACGTGGGACTCGATCCCGGGTCTCCAGGATCAGGCCCTGGGGTGAAGGCGGCGCTAAACTGCTGAGCAGTCCGGGCTGCCAATATTGTACTTTTACTTAGAGTAACACCTTGAATACAGCACATTTTTAATGTCTAGTCATTTTGCCTATTATACCAAATCAGAAATTATGGAGTTGTATAGATCCTTAAAAAGTACAAGTAAGGTTATTAGAGAAGTATTTGTTTTTTTTTAAATTTTATTTATTTGAGAGAGAGAGAGAGCATGAACAAGGGGAGGGGCATAGGGAGAGAGGGGGAAAAAGACTCCCCACTGAGCAGGGAGCTGGATACAGGGCTTGATCCCAGGACCCCGGGATCATTACCTGAGCCAAAGGCAGTTGCTTAACTGACTGAACCGCCCTAGAGAAGTATTTGTTATCAGCTCTGGTTCTATTCCTTTTTATGTGTTTCTGAACTTCCAAAATATTATTATTTAAGGTTTTCATTAATTTGGAGCATGAGATAAATGTACTAAACATTGCAAAATACTGTCCTTTAGGTTAAATTTATTTTATCTCATTTATACTGTTTTGACTTATAATCATTTGCGTATTGGTGAATTTTAGATCTCTGTAAAGTTGATTGAATTCCTTCTGTATGTTAAATCATTTTGCTTTCTTCATGAAATTAAGCCAGGTATGTGCCCTATATGGTGAACACATTCCCCCTAGTGCAAACCATAGAGCTAGGGAGCAATTTATCTATGGCAGGATCACTTACCTTCCAGAGTATCCAAAGTGAGCTATTGGTTTCCAGGTAGTCTGTCTTTAGAGGAAAATTAATTTTCATCTAACTTTCAGAGTTTCGGTAACTTTCTGTAAATAGTGTGTGTTTACCAAAGACTTTCTCATATGCAGGAAGACATCCAGGAGGACTTTGGTTGGAAGCTGGTTCATGGAGATGTATTCAGACCTCCAAAGAGAAGAATGTTGCTGTCGGTTTTCCTGGGCCAAGGAACACAAATTTTGATCATGACATTTGTTACCTTATGTGAGTAGGCTAAGATCAATAGGTATTAAACATTCTTAGTCAACTGCTGGCATATGTTCAATTTTGATCCATGTGCACAAAATGACTTTGAAAATACCTAAAGTTTAAGAAAATGTGGGTTTTATAGTACTTATATTTTCATTTTCTCAAATTAAGGATACAAGTCTGAATTTAATCCTATGTCAAGGACCTTTCAGGGTTTCTTCAGTTCTGAATAATTTATTGTAATGTCCAATACACATATACCTTGCTTTGTAAAACAGATGCTTTCTTGAAAATCAGCATGAGGGTAGAAGCATATTTTTTATGTGGACTAAGGGAATTCATAATTAACGACTAGCATTTTGAAATATGGTAAGCCTAGGTGCTGGTCTTTAAATGTCTACACAGAATGGCCTCTTTAGTAGTCTTAGAACAGCTGATGAACCCTGGCTGCCTTCATTTATAAGGTAAAAATGGAGCTTGTCAGTTTTTGATAGCCAGAATGGTGATTTTCATAAACAAAGCTGCTGTAAAAAATATGGCTTATTAGGTGTTTCACATATCAGTGATAATTTCAAAATTTAGCTCTTGAGGTTACATTTTCCTAAGGTGGAGTCTTGCTTTGATTCTTTTTTTTTTTTTTAATTCCTCACCTCGAATAAGAGGAAGTGGAAGGAAATTTTGGTGTGAAATATGGTTTGCCGTTTAGGGAGTGATAGTGGAGTAGAGAAGAGTGAGTGAGTTTGTTTAATTTGTATTTAAACAGTGAGATTAAAGACTGGACCCAAAGTCTTGGGAACAGACTTCATTTGCCTGCTATTGAAAATCACACCTTTTTCGTTAAGAAAAAATTGTTGTTAGCTAAGTAGATAACATTCATTCACAGTGTCACTGAAATACTCATACCACAGAATTTCCTTGTGTGCTGTTAACACATAATGTGTCTTAATAAAGTGGACCTTTAATTTATTATGAGGTCTTGTGTGCTTCTGAGGCTGTTATTGTCACTGCTTTGATATTTCTTTTCTGTACCTTTAGTTCTGGCCTGCCTCGGCTTTCTTTCCCCCGCCAATCGGGGTGCCCTAATGACCTGTGCTGTTGTGTTATGGATCCTCCTGGGAACTCCTGCTGGATATGTGTCTGCTAGAATGTATAAGAGTAAGCACTGCAACTGTTATCATTCCAGTTAGTTGGTGTGTTAAATGTAGAAATTAAGAGGCCGTAAAAGAAAACATTTAAAAATTGCATGGAAAAAAATAAATAAAAATTGCATGGAGCATTTTAGTTTATTTTTAAAGATTTTATTTATTTCTTCATGAGAGACATAGTGAGAGAGGCAGAGACACAGGCAAAGGAAGAAGCAGGCTCCCCACAGGGAGCCCAATTGGGAACTCGATCTCAGGACCCTGGGATCATGCCCTGAGTGGAAGGCAGATGCTCAACCACCGAGCCCCACCATGCATGGGGCATTTTAGCCAGCCTTTCAAAATATCATTGTGCCCTAGGTATAAAATAGTTGTACAGTGAGCTGCATAAATTGCTATAATAACTATTTCTGTCTTTTACTTCCCCAGCCCTTAAAGGTGTTAACTGGAAGACAAACTTTTTGTTGACAGCACTATTGTGTCCTGGGTTAGTATTGCTTCTTCTTTTTTCTCTACACAATTAGACTCTTAGACTCCATCTTGGAAAAATCACTGCATATGATAATGACGAGTAGAAAGGAGATGGGTAACCACTGTGTTTTCTGTAGTGCCAGCATTCTCTCCCTTTGTGGTATCTGCATTCCTTTCATTTATTTGTACATTATAGCCTCTGGTACAAGGAGATGGCCATGGTGCTGCTGTATTTAATTTTGATCTTTGGTTTGGAAGCAGATTTCATAAATGCACATCTTAGTTATACAGCTCACATTATATATTATGTTAGAATGGCAATTTATTTTTTAAAATATTTTATTTATTTATTCATGAGAGGCACAGACACAGGCAGAAGGAGAAGCAGGCTCCATCTCATGCAGGGAGCCTGATGTGGGACTCGATCCCGGGTCTCCAGGATCACACCCTGGGCTGAAGGCGGTGCTAAACCGCTGAGCCACCCAGGCTGCCCAGAATGGCAATTTCTGCACTCCCTTGTGTTATTCCCCCTTGTCACTGGCTTCTGTGATCATTTCTTCCCGTTCCCCTAGTTCCTGCAGTGGCGTCAGTGACTGCAGTTCCCAGGTAGAGTCACTGTCCAATTGGGAGTGGGTGGTGCTGCCAGTAGCTCAGTCTGGCCCCTGATTATAGAGATGTGGGACCAGTGGTCACATCAGGGAGCAAGTGTCTGAGGTCACATGGGAAGTCAATGACAGACCCCAGGCTATAGATAAATGAATGTCCCCTCTGCATCCCCTCCCACAGAACCTCACTGATGAAATGCCGACTCAGTTTGGGAGTTTCATCTCCTTAGTCAGCCTGGGCTACCATAACAAAATACCATGGACTGGAGTTGGGGTGGGGTTCAAGCAATAGAAATTTGGTTGCTCACAGTTCTGGAGGCAGGGATGTAGGAAATCAGGGCACCAACAGGGTCTGGTCCTGGTGAGAGCTCTCTTCCTGGCTTGCCGATGATGACTGCCTTACTGTTTCCCCACATGGCAGGCAGAGATGGTGAACTCTCATGTTTCTTCTCATAAAGGCATCGATCTCATCATGAAGGCCCTACTCTTGTGACTCACCTAAGCTTAATCACCTCCCAAAGGCTTGCCTCCAAATCCCATTACATTGTGAATTGGGGCTTCAACATATGAACTGGGTGGGGTGGGGGGGACATAATGTAGCCCATAGCATGTTTCATTTCCAATATTCTTTCCTTGATATGTTATGAAGGACAGGGTTTTTTTTTAAGGAAAAATTAGTGGATTATATCTTATTTGTCACATGGTACTTAAACCCCTATTTGTTATGAAATTCCCATGTCCGTGATGCTAGGAGTATGTCACAATAACTGGAAGAGGTCCTATAATGAAAGTTAGACATAGTAAATTCAGTTATATTATATTCTGATTAGTGACAAAGTGAAAGAAAATGCTTTAATAATGTTCTGTGACTGAGTATCATGCAATAAATCATGCAATGCAGTGATGGGTTTTGTAGATCCATAATCATTCATCTCCACGTGGCTGGGTTCCCTCAAAACTCCAGGGAAAAAGATATGATCATTGAAAGGATTGAACATTACAAGTTTGCACATTAAACAGAGAAACCTCAGAATTTTTTTACATATTTAAACTAAGGACAATATACTCCCTGTTCCCCACCTTGAATAGAGCTATCTGCTTTTCCTATAACTCTTTTCAAGGGAACTGCCAAATTTCTATTCTTTTTTTATGAGTGGTCTTTTCTGAGATGAATGCTTTATTACATTTATGTAAGAAAGTGATGTCCTTGACAATACTTCGGATATTTGTTGCTTCAAGTTCAAGACTCAGATGAATCCAAAACTGAATAAATTTGGCACAAAGTGCCATTGTGCAAAAGTCATTATACTGGATTGTAATACAAGGGATATTAAATCAAGAGCCAATCAATAAGCTGTTCACTATTCTCTGTATTATTTTGTTACTCATTCAACATACTTATTGTGTTTTTGTTTTGTTTGTTTTTACTAAATTTAAGGCATTATGCTAGACACTATAGAGGAAAGAAACACAAATTGCCCCTGAAACTCTGCCTTCATGGCTTAAGATGAATAATGACCATTTTTCATCACACAGATGTTCCATCTTATTGTAAAAAGAAGTCACATCATTGAAATAGATGTAAAAGAATTAGAATATGCCATATCACTAAGCTTGATTAGCCAAATTAAATAATTAATGTCTGAAAGGCATTAGCATTTGCAATGCACCAATAGCTGCTTTCATCATGTTTTCTATGGGATCAATTCTGAAGAATGTTTTACACAGAAAAATTTAAAAATTTGAGAAATCCATAATAACACAGCTCAGGTTTACATGGATTGTGAAATGATGCAGTGTCAAGCCACAGCTTTGTAAAAGTAAAAACAATTTTGAATTTGAAAAGCAACTGGTAATGGTGGTTGTGTCCTGGATGGGTTTTTGGGTGTCTGGGGGACAATAGTGTGAAGGAGACTATTTATATTAGACTTGTCATTCTTTTTTTAAGCTTTTGCATCATATACCATATGCACGTGTTAACTTTTTTTTTTATCACTATTATTATTATTATTTTTAAGTAGTCTCCACACCCTAAGATCAAGACTTGAGTTGATATCAAGAGTCAGATGCTTAACTGACTTGCCACCCAAGCACCCCACGTATTTTTATTTTTTTAATTTTTAAATTTTTATTTTTTTGTATATTTTTTATTGGAGTTCGATTTGCCAACATATAACACCCAATGCTCATCCCACCTATTTTTAAATAATCTCATTATAAATAACAGTAACAACAACTTATAACTATAAAAGTGGAGAGGTAGTATAGAAGATACTAGCACAAGCTTTAGCATCACACACGCATATACACACGCATATACATGTGCACGCGTGTGCTTGTATGCACCTATGCTCTGCACTCTGGACACACACAGCAGTTCATTTCCCAGTTCTGCCTCCTTGTAGTTACCAGGTCTTGAGCATGTCGTGAAAAATACTGCAATGAACACAGGGGTACAGGCATCTCTTTGAGATCTTTGCCTTCTATTGTGTTCAATAGATATTTTCTTCTGCACCATTTTTATTCCTATGACATTTCTTCTATTTTTTTGAATTATTTTCTTAGTGGTTCCCTTACAGATTACAATTAATGTCTCAATTTATACCAATCTGGTTTGGGTTAATACCAATTTACTTTCAAATTTATATGAAAACTTTGCTTCTATATAGCTCCTTTCCCTCCTCCCTTCTTTTTGCTGTTATTGCCATACAGTTTATATCTTAATACTTTGTATGCTTGTCAACACAGATTTATAATGATTACATTATGCAGTTGTCCTTTAAAGTCAAAAAAAGAGCTTCAAAAATATTTACTGATTATGGGATGTTGGGCAAGTGATTTTACCTCTCTCATCTTGGCTTTCCTCATCTGTACTATGCAAATCATGGTATTAGCTACTTCAAGGTTGTTGTGAGGATTAAATGGGATAATGTGTGTAATGGATTGGAAATGGTGCCTAGCATTAGTGCTAGGTATAAATGGTAGCTGTGGTTATTAGCTACTCTTGACTTTTGCTGTCATGCCTTTGCTCATGCTGTTCCATCTTTTTGTAATCACTTCTTTCCAATCCTCCAATGCCAAATTTCTATTCTTTTTTATGTCCTAGCTCAAATGCCATCACTTCCATGTTCTGGAATGTACAGTGTCTATTATCATTACTATAACACTTATCACAGTGTTCCTTAGATTGGAGTTATTTGTGATATGCTTTATCTAATTGTGCATTCTAAAACTCACGAGGGTGAGTACTATGCCTTATTCTTCTATATCTTTCACAGTGTGTAACCAAGTGCCTTATATAGAGGATAAGTGCCTTATATGGAGTAAGTGCTCAGTAAATATCTACTGTATGACTGAATCAAGTGAATAATTTAAAAATGCAGAACAGATTCAATTTCCTAGTTCTGTTAGTAGAACTGAATGCTATTTTAAAGCAAGGCAGGCATGATACAAAGGACAAATTTCCCTGAAGTGGCTTAGGGGCTCTCTTAGGTAGATGGGAGAGAGAATCACAAGGTACTGACATTTCTATTTCTTAGAATGTGGTAGATTGACTCATAGTATATAAATGTGCAAGTAGCTCATACACTGCCATAACTGTGCAGTGTAAAAATTTCTTTAGATTTAAAAGTAGAAGCATTTAGGCTAAGGAACACGTATGCTCCCTAAAAGAAATTGAAGAAAGGAAGATTATTAAACCATATACTTTTTTTTCATGTAACCCCAAAAGTGGTGTGTAGGAAAAGGAAGAGGTAGCATACTTTGATGCTATTTTACAATTAGAAAGAAACAAGTCTGAACTCCAGCATTTACTATAAGGCCCTCAATTTTAGGCAAGTGGCTTTGGGGAAGTCCTATAACCTTCATGATTGTGCATTTCCTTGTCTGTCATGCCTGTGTTGCAGAGTCGTTCAGAGAAGTAAGTGAACTAATGGATTGTGAAATTGTTTTGTGAGCTATAAAGGATGTTTGGTCACTCTTCTGTGTTCCTACTGTTTTATGTTTATTATCTGCTATCACATTTCCCATGTTGTATTGTAATTTATTTGTTTATCTCTGTCCCCCACTAGGCTGAGCTTTTCAGAGCAAAGGTTTTCATTTATCTTTGAATGCCAGGACCTAACACATAGGTACTCAATAAATGTTTGATGAATGTGTGAATAAGTGGTTCAGGTAGGAGATGAACCCAGATGACCTGTTCGGTTTCCTTTTATTTTGCTGTTTAAGATTCCATGGAAAGGTCTAGAAATAATTAGATATCAGCAAAGGAAGAACCATTTAGAATATAAAAACTTGAAACTGAAGGGCAGTCACAGAATTGTTAAACACATATTAACATTCTAGAGTGTACTTTCAAAAGGGAAATTGTTGAGACGGGTTAATTGAGTTTATGTATAAGAAGGGAGGTTATGATTTGTCAAGTGAGAAGTAATTTTTCTGGCCATGGGATGATAACAGCTGAAATGAACCTCTCAAAAGCTAGGAAATTTGGCAGAGGAATATTGTGGCTGAACAAATTCATTAGAGCAGAAAGGTATTAAGAAACATTTGAAGAAGTATGGTTAAATCATAGGAAACCAGACTCCCTTATTAAGATGCCAGAAACTAATGAGACCTAAGGTGGAGGTTTACTGTTGATGCATTTGTTGTTGTTTGAAAGGGCTCCAAACCACAGGAGCAAGTGTGAGCCTTTAAAAGCACAATAGAAGTACCTACTGACAGAGGTTTAGTAGGCGGAAGAGATCATATGCCCAGGGGGGAGGGTGAAACAGATATAGTAAAATGAAGGAAGAAATGGCTGAAGTTGGTTTATAATGAAAGATGCAGAACATCCAAAAAAATGATCCTGAATGAGAAATTGGAGAAAAATAGCAAATAGGAAGGCAGCATTAAATCCTAGAACTGGAATAGACCTTGAGAGAACTGCCAACTAAAGAATTAACCAATTAACCAGAGATTCCCTAAACAGGAGACCTCAGTGCCTTACCTGGTGCATCATGATGTGGTTGATGCCACATTCCCGCTCTTTGGTCTTTGATGGAACGTCTGGGGGAAGAGAAGATAGATGTGACTGGCAGGATGGGTTCCCACCATGGAGGCTTTAGGATAGCACGGTGGAATGGAAACAGCTTGCTCTTTAAAGAATCACACACACCTGAATTAGAATCTCAGCTCTGCTTCTTTTCAGCTGTCTGACCTTGAACAAATTACTTAAATATCCCTAAAAGACATTAAGAAGCCTGTGTATTAAAGTAACTCCTATTTTTCACGTGCCTGGGTTGTTCATCTAATTTTTCTTTATTTTTTACCTGTTCATTTTTTTTTCTTTTTTTCCTCCAGTTCTATTGAGAAATAATTGACCTCCATTACTGTATAAGTTTAAGGCATACAGCATGATGGTTCAGTTTACATATACTATGAAATGGTGACCACAATAGGTTCAGCTCACATCCATCATATCATATAGATACACTAAAAAGGAAGAGAAAGAAGAAAAAGAAAAACAATTCTCTCCTTGTGTTGAGAACTCTTGGGACTGACACTCTTAACAGCTTCTCTATCTATCACAGAGCAGTGTTAGCAGAAGGTATCATGTTGTACATTATGTCCCTAGTATGTACTTATCACTGGAAATTTGTACTTTTGACTACCTTCCTCCCCCCACCCTGGCCCCAGTTGTACCTTTTGACTTACCTTCCTCCCCCAACCCTGGCCCCAGTTAACCACGAGTCTGATATTTTTTATTTATGAGTTTGGTTTGCTTTTATTGTAAAGATTTATTTGAGGGCAGCCCTGGTGGCTCAGCAGTTTAGCGCCGCCTTCAGCCTGGGGTGTGATCCTGGAGACCCAGGATCGAGTCCCATGTTGGGGTCCCTGCATGGAGCCTGCTTCTCCCTCTGCCTGTGTCTCTGCCTCTCTCTCTCTGTGTGTGCCTCTTATGAATAAATAAATAAAACCTTTTTAAAAAAGATTTACTTGAGAGAGAGTAAAGGGTGAGAGAGAGCGAGTGAGCAAGCGAGTGAGCAGGGGACAGGGAGAAGGAGAGAAAGAGGAAGAGAATCCCAAGCAGACCTCCCGCTGAGTGCAGGGGCCCACACCAGGCTGGATCTCACGACCCTGACATCATGACCCTAGCCCTAGCTGAGGCTAGGGTCATGATGCTAAACCAACTGAGCCATTCAGGCACCCCGAATTTGGTTTGCTTTTGTTTTTGTTTTAGATTCCATGTATAAGTAAGATCATATGGTTTTTGTCTTTCTCTAATTCCGTTAGCATAATGCCTTCAAAGTCCATCCATGTTGTTGCAAATGGTAGGATTTCCTCCATTTTTAGGCTGAGTAATATTCCTGTATATATATACACTACAACAACTTTATCCATTCATCTTTCGATGGGCGCTTAGGGGTTTTTCATCTCCTCTTCTCCTCCCCCGGCCTCCTCCTAATCCTCCTCCTCCTAACACTGTTAAGATATATAATTAGCTTTATGTTCCAACCCTTTTACTGAAATTTTCATTCCCACTGACATATTTCCAATTCCAAAGAGCTCTTGTATTTCTCACCAGTCCTTAAAATGTCCTCTTGCTTCATGGTTGCAGTGGCTCCTCTGATCTCTCTGAGGATATCAATAATAGATTTTTCTTTCTAAAGTTTTTCTTCTGAGCTTTAAGGACCTTCTCTAAGAGACTAGACCTCCAGTCTTCTGCTGGGGCCAGGAAGTTCTTTGGCTCTCCAGGGCCAGGGAGAGAATCTGAAGGTCTGTGACCTTAGGCTGACTTTCAACCAATCCTACTTTTATCCACTCCTCCCCTCCCGCTTACAGGGGTATCTGGTGCTACAAACACCTGAACCTTTTCTGGAGTTCTGTAGTATAACTTGAGTTGCCTCTCAGCTTTTCCTACAGAAAACTTGGGGTACAGGTTTCCCAATTCTTTCTCAGTTACTACTTGTCCATCTGCTGTCTGCTTTCCAAAATTTGTTGCTAATGTCTTCTCTCCTGTATCAGACATCCTTATGTATTCGTGCCCCTTTATTTTTTTAAGATTTTATTTATTTATTCATAAGAGAGAGAGAGAGAGAGAGAGAGAGAGAGAGAGAGAGGCAGAGACACAGGCAGAGGGAGAAGCAGGCCCCATGCAGGGAGCCCGATGTGGGACTCGATCCTGGGACTCCAGGATCAGGCCCTGGGCCGAAGGCAGGCGCCAAACCTCTGGGCCACCCAGGGATCCCCCTATTCATGCCCCTTTAAAGCTTCTTTACTTTTTTTATCAGAGTTTTGAGGAGGGGGCAGAACCGAATGTGTGATATCAATCTGCCATCTTTAACCAAAGGACTCTCAGTGCTTCATATCTTTTACAGACATAATTTACATTTTAACCATCACCACATCATACAGATGCTCACCACTATGTATCTTGTCTCCTTGTCTCTAGTTTTTCTTCCCTCAGGTCTGTCCTTGGCCATCCTGCAGATCCATCTGCCAGGAAGACTGCACTATGTACCCCAGAACTTTGAGTGTAAAAACCCTTCAGCTGCTTCCTGATGCTGCCAGCATCAAGTCGACGTTCCTTACCCTGATATGCAAAGCCTCCCACAATCTAGCCTCTGCCCACTTTTTCAACCTCATCTTTTAGGCTTTCAGAAACACTCACATCCATACCCATACCCATACTTACCTGTAGCTTTGACCAAACTTGCCTGGAACAAAACAGGGCACAATAGCTGGGTGTGCCTGGTGATTTGTCCAGTAGGTTGAGCAGCTAGCTGACATGTTGTGTTTGAGTGACTCATTTAAGCTCTCATTTTAAGTGACCACATGTTGGGCTTGAGGCTCATAGCCCATTTCAGTCTAGGATTCTAAAATCTGTTTTTAGTATATGCATGCTCTTAATCATGTTCACCATATTGCCCATTGAGTTTTTCCATGGTGTATTACTCCACACCTTATTTATTTTCTGCTAGACTCTGGAGGTGCAAAGATGAGTAGGATGTGGAGATTATGTCTCATAATAAACTGCTGTCTTATCATATGGTATTGGGTTTAAGCCCCTGCTGAATGGCTGGGTTTTCACAGTGAGATTTAATATTCTCCTAGGGTTTAGCCTTGTCATTTATTATATCCTTCCCACCAAAAAATGTTCTGACATTCACATCAAGTATGATTATAGCATTTTCCTGAAGGCGTATTGTTTCCTGACGACATTTTTTTCTCCCTAGTATCGTCTTTGTCGACCTCTTCATTATGAACCTGATCCTTTGGGTGGAAGGGTCATCAGCTGCCATCTCCTTCGGTACTCTCATAGGTATCTTTGCGATGTGGTTTGGAATTTCTGTACCATTAACATTTTTGGGTGCATACTTTGGAAGCAAGAAAAAGGTAAATTTGTGAAATACTGCTTTTGACCATTGATGTCTGAAATAATACCTCAATGTGTATATACATGTATATACATGGAATGGAGAATATACCATAGGTGAAAACTGTGAAGACTGATCATTTTGGAATAAAAGATTAAAAAATTTTTAAAAATGAAACACAGTAATGCTTCAAAACACACTATTTAATGGGCTTCCCACTTTATGGGTTGTTTATATTACTGTCTCTCTCTATTGGATGAAATTAAAGGGATATATTGTTGGAAGGCTGACTAACAAAGTCAGAAAAGTAATAACATTATATAGCAGGGGAAGAAAGCCAAGATACAGTCCGAAAAATGGAGCTGTTCAGTGTATAGATTTGAAGTCAGCCTATTCCATGCATAGGGTAAAGGAGCAGGATACCAAAAAGACTAAATGAGGCCACACTGCAAAAGGATTGTACAAAGATATAGTGTGTTTGCAGGGGAGAAATCAGACAAGATCAAATAGGAGCTGGAGTTCCACACAGAGCAGAAAAAAGAAAAAGGTCTGAAAACTGACACATTTTAAGAGAAATTCTTTTTTTTCCAATTTTAATTAAATTCTAGTTAGTGAACAAATACTGTAATATTGGATCCAGGAGTAGAATTTAGTGATTCATCACTTACATCTAACACCCAGTATGCTCATCACAAGTGCCCTCCTTAATGCCCATCCCCCACCCGCTTCCCTCCAGCAACCCTCAGTTTGTTCTCTATTGTTAAGAGTCTCATGGTGTGCTTCCTTCTCTCTTTTTCCCCTTCTCCTATGTTCATCTGTTTTGCTTCTTAAATTCCACATATGAATGAGATCATATGGCATTTGTCTTTCTCTGACTGGCTTATTTAGCTTAGCATAATATATTCTAGCTCCGTCCACATGGTTGCAAATGGCAAGGTTTCATTCTTTTTGATGACTGAGTAATGTTCCATTGTGTCTGTCTATATATATAAAGAGAGAGAGACAGATGAATGTCCTTTCATCTGGGTTCTTTCTATATTTTGGCCATTGTGGTCATTGCTGCTATAAACATTCAGATGTATGTACCCCTTTGAGTTCGTATTTTTCTATTCTTTGGGTAAATACCTAGTAGTGCAGTTGCTGGGTTGTAGGGTAGTTCTATATTTTTTAAGATTTTATTTATTTATTTATTTATTTATTTATTTATTTGAGAGAGAGAGAGAGCACAAGCAGGGGGAGGGGCAGAAGGAGAGGGAGAAACAGGGAGCCTGATGGAGGGCTTGACCCAGGACCCTGGGATCATGACTCGAGCCAAAGGCAGATGCTTAACTGAACCATCCAGTTGCCCCGGTGGTTCTATTTTTTTTGTATATTTTTTATTGGAGTTCTATTTGCCAAAATATAGCATAATACCCAATGCTCATCCCATCAAGGGACCCCTCAGTCCCTGTCACCCCATCCCTCCGCCCACCTCCCTTTCCACTACCCCTTGTTCGTTTCCCAGAATTAGATGTCTCTCATGTTCTGTCACCCTCACTGGTATTTCCCACTCATTTTCTCTCCTTTCCCCTGTATTCCCTTTCACTATTTTTTATATTCCCCAAATGAATGAGACCATATAATGTTTGTCCTTCTCCAATTGACTTACTTCACTCAGCATAATACCTTCCAGTTCCATCCACATTGAAGCAAATAGTGGGTATTTGTTGTTTCTAATGGCTGAGGAATATTCCATTGTATACATAGACCACAGCTTCTTTATCCATTCATCTTTTGATGGACACTGAGGCTCCTTCCACAGTGTGACTATTGTGGACATTGCTGCTAAAAACATTGGGGTGCAGGTGCCCTGCCATTTCACTGCATCTGTATCTTTGGGGTAAATCCCCAGCAGTGCAATTGCTGGGTGGTAAGACAGTTCTATTTTTAACTCTTTGAGGAACCTCCACACAGTTTTCCAGAGTGGCTGCACCAGTTCACATTCCCACCAACAGTGTAAGAGGGTTCCCCTTTCTCCACATCCTTGCCAATACCTGTTGTTTCTTGTGTTGTTAATTTTAGCCATTCTAACTTGTGTGAGGTGGTATTTCATTGTGGTTTTGATTTGTATTTCATGATGATGAGTGATGTTGAACGTCTTTTCATGTGTCTGTTGACCATCTGGATGTCTTTGGAAAATGTCTCTTCATGTCTTCTGCCCATTTCTTAACTGGATTATTTATCTTTTGGGTGTTGAGCTTGATAAACTCTTCATAGATTTTGGATACTAGCCCTTTATCAGCTATGTCATTTGCAAATAACTTCTGCCATTCTGTAGGCTGCCTTTTAGTTTTGTTGTTTCCTTTGTTGTCCAGAATCTTTGTATCTTGATGAAGTCTCAATAGTTTATTTTTGCCTTTGTTTCCCCTTGCCTTCAGTGACATGTCTAATAAGCGGTTGCTATGGCTGAGCAAAGAAGTTGCTGCCTGTGTTTTCCTCTAGGATTTGATGGTTTCCTGTCTCACATTTGGCTCTTTCATCCATTCTGAGTTTATTTTTGTGTGTGGTGCAAGAAAGTGGTACATTTTCATTCCTCTGCATCTTGCTGTCCAGTTTTCCCAATACCATTTTGTTGAAGAGACTGTCTCTTTTCCAATGGATATTCTTTCCTGTCAAAGGTTAGTTGACCATAGAGTTGAGGGTCCGTTTCTGGGTTCTCTTTTCTGTTCCATGGATCTATGTGTCTGTTTTTTTTTTGTACCAGTAGCATGCTGTCTTGATGACTACAGCTTTGTAATATAGCTTGATGTCTGGAACTGTGATGCCTCCAGCTTTTCTTTTCTTTTTCATGATTGCTTTGGTTATTTGGGGTCTTTTGTGGTTCCATACAAATTTTAGGATTGTCTGTTCTAGTTCTGTGAAAAATGCTGTTGGTATTTTGATAGGGATTGCATTATATGTATAGATTTCTTCGGGTAGTATAGACATTTTAACAGTGTTTGTTCTTCCAATCCATGAGCATGGAACATTTTTCCATTTCTTTGTGTTCTCTTCAATTTCTTTCATCAGTGATCTATAGTTTTCAGAGTACAGATCTTTTACCTCTTTGGTTAAGTTTATTCCTAGGTATCTCATTGTTTTTGGTGCAGTTGCAAATGGGATCGATTCCTTGATTTCTTTTTCTGCTGCTTCATTATTGATGTATAGAAATGCAACCGATTTCTATACATTGGTTTTATATCTTGAAACTTTGCCGAATTCATGAATTAACTCTAGCATTTTTTTTTGGTTGACTCTTTTGGGTTTTCCACACATTATGAGAGGACTTTTTGAAATTAATTACTTCATATTGGAATAATCACCACAAAACCTTGTCCAGTCTCTCCCTTGAAACTGATAGGAAAGCATAAACATCCTTATTGTCTAGTTGTGTGCTCTCTAGTATCATGGTCACTAGCTGCATGCGACTTTTGAGTGCTTGAGATGTGGCTAGTTCCAAATTGGTAAATGCTGTAAGGAAGTGTAAAAAACACAGTGGATTTTAAACAGAACAATAAAACATAAAACATCTATTTAATAATTTTTATATTGATGACAAATTTAACTGAGAATATTTGGGCATGTTGGAGTGAAATGAATATTTCATAAATTAATTTCACCTGTTTCTTTTCACTTTTTAAAATGCAGCTTGTAAAATATTTAAAACTGGAAGTATGGCTTGCATTACATTTCTATTTCACAGTGTTGGTCTAGCTTCTGACCACATGTCCTGTCCTGATTCAGGATTTCGTGTTGTGATTATATGTATATAAATTCACTTCAATTTCATGTCATTCTGATTTTCACTTGATTTCTTTTGGAGCAGTTTAGGTGTCCAGTTCACACAAACCAGATTCCCCGTCATGTTCCTCAGCAGACTTTCTTAACAAAACCACTTTTTGGCATCGTCATTGGTGGCATTTTACCCTTTGGCTGTATTTTCATCCAACTCTTTTTCATTCTAAACAGCATTTGGTGAGTAATGTATCTTCAGAAATCTCAAAAAATCTTAACTGTTGATCAATTAATTTTCCTGTATTTCAAGGAGATTAAATTCTGGTGTGGTAAAACTTCATTTGCTCTCCTTGCCAGCTTTATTCAGGAAATAGCGATCTGACCCTACAGGAATTTCTTAGGGAACTCAGACTTAATTCACAAGTTTTAAAAGACACTTTTTGATGGAAATTTCTATGCGAGTTTCCTTTTTTAAAAGTAATAACCTCTTGTTAAGCCTTTCCAGATGACTTAAAATTGGCTCACACTCTACTTCCCTGAGCCTTTGCAGGGGGTGGGGCAGGGGTGTCCCTTGAAAGGAGGTGCTGAAAGTGGGAAAAAGCAGCCCTGATGTGTATCTCTTTTCCATACTGACCTTCCATGCACGATTTCAGAGTTCCTCTGCTAAAAATACTTTGGGTCTTCATCTGTACTGAGCCGTAAGTAATGTTTTTTTGCTTTCCTTTCTGTCAACTGTTAGCTCTGGTGTCAGGATGCCTACTCCTTACAGCTTTCCTCTTTTTATTTGCCACTTTGAACCTGTCGTGGTTTAAGGATTTTGATCTGTAAAGTAAGAACCCGTACTCTCTGATGAAAGCGCGACAGCTTCAGCTTCTCCAAGTCACTTTTTTCTTAATTCCTGATTCTTGACTGTATTCTGGTTTCAGGAGCAGGTCGAGTGGAGTGGTACTGCAGAGGGAGTTTTGGAGATGGGGCAAAGGCGCCATAAAATCAAATGCAGTATCCAGCTGTGTGTGTTTAGGACATTTTTCATCCCAATGCAATCTTTCAGATACAGCTTTCAAGTAATCAAAAGTTAGGCTTAATCATATCATGCACATTAATTGCTCACCTTTTAAACAACATTGTGCCAAATTTGTTTAAAAGATAAGCAATAAAATCTGTTACCTTGTCAGCAAATAAATATTTAACATGCTGCAAAATAGATTATAGCAACTGTGTTTTCCAGATGTTTTTGATGGGAGAATAATTTTAAAGTGAAAACTGGAAGTCTTCAGACAAGCTTTGTTTCAATGAAAAAGAGTGTGCTGCTGTATGCAACTTTGTATATGTTCATTATCTATAGAGATGATTCTCCCCGAGTCCTGTCCTTAGGCCTTGTGCCCAGGTATATATTCTGCAGGAGATTTTAAAATGGGATATTGATTGGTTCCTCAGTTTCTTTTCTTCAGGAGGCTTTTAAAATTACTCCTCCCAGTTTAGTTAGCTCGGCTCTATAATAACGGGAAAAAAATGGCTTTCTTCCTCCCAAGTCTGACATAAATATAATCCACACATGAAGCTTTGAGAAGAGGTGTGTATGAAAGTATATTTAATAGAATTATGTGTGCTGTGCTATCAAAACCTATTGGGGAAGGCTGCATGTCAATAGACCTTCAAAGGCCAAGGATTTGAGTCTGTGGTTTTCTGTTGTGTAACATAGTTGCTGGTATTCATGGCATTTGCAATTTTCCATTGCTAAAGGGAAAGTGTGGATTAAAATGTGCAGAAAGAAAATTTTACAGATAATTATGGGGTCTCACGTGAATCCTGAATTGCATGAGCAGGGAATTATGGGTAAGTAGCCACACAGATGCGCACCGGACAAGATCTGGCAGAGGTCTGAAGCCACACAGGTCAGGGCATATGTTTTGGGTACCGGATGTATAGATAAAGGTTGGGAACGCATGGCTAAGGTTCGAGAAGTGTGGCCATGTCCTATGTGGATTCGAATCAGGCTTTCCGTGTATTGTGAAGTTAATTTTAAAGCTGTCATTTTCATTTTCAGGTCTCATCAGTTGTACTTCATGTTTGGCTTCCTTTTCTTGGTCTTTCTAATTCTCCTGATTACCTGCTCAGAAGCTACAGTTTTGCTGTGTTATTTCCACTTGTGCGCTGAGGTAAAGACCTAAGAAGTGAACACATTTTCTGTTTCCAAAACTCGCATTATTGGAATTAGAAGCCTGTGTTGAGCAAGAAATTGAAACAACTGCTAACTGCGTGGTTTCTACAACATGGGATCAGTTTTATATTGTGTTTTCCTGATGACACATTTTGATTTTGATGCAGCTATCAAGTTAATGCGACTTTGATGGAAGATTTAAACAGAAAGCAATTTCTCTCTGGCTAGTTACAATAATTGCTGCATAATATTCAGTTAGCATAGAAAAATATAGGGAACTGATTTGATATTTAGACATATAAAAGATCTGGTTCAATGGTGTTTTTTTCTTAACAATTAAAATTTTTACCACGTAGGCTGGCAGTGTGTTTTATGGGTTTGAGATTGCTGCTAAAGGCCCTTTCCCTAATTTTCATTTCATTGCCTTTTGGTTACCATGGACATAAATAACTCTGTTTACCCCACTCCACCCCCATTTTTTTTTCTGATGTCATTCTGTATAACTAAGGTGGTAGTGAAAATTATTTTCTTAAATCCCTTACATTTTTCTTGTTTTGGTAGTTAAATGAGACTCTCTAAAGGTGACAATAGAAAGTTTAGGGAATGATTATCATATACATGATGTCTTAGAGCATTTTCTTCTTGAGCGATAGGTAAAAGGATTAAAAACTTGAATTTTGTATATGTTATACTTAGCTTCTCATTAATTCTATGATACATTTTTGTCATAGAAAATCTGCAACAATCATGAATGAAATATACACTCATAGGCATATGATGTATATATTTCTATGTCTTAGGTGGGGTACCTGGGTGGCTCAGTCAGTTAAGCATCCAACTCTTGATCTCAGCACAGCTCTTGATCTCAGAGTCATGAGTTCAAGGCCTGCATTGGGCTCCATGCTTTATGTGGAGCCTACTTAAGAGATTAAAAAAGAAATGTTTTGGAGGTTCCCAAGACCACACATACATTTGGCGGTTCACTGGAAGGACTCATGGGACTCAGCACAGAGATGTATGCATGGCTAGGGCTGTTAGAGCCAAAGGATACACAACAGTATCAGCAAGGGGAAAAAAAACAGGTGAAGCCTGGGGAAATCCATGTACAGTCTTCCTAAGCATTCTCTTTTCCACAAGAAGTTATATCAGGTGTACTCCTTTCTCCAGCAGTAAAAAAATATAGTAATGTATGTGCAATGTTTGGGCCCAAGGAAGCCCATTAGAGACTCCGTATCCAAGGTCTTCATTAGGAGCTAGTCACATAGGCACCCTTTGCCTAGAAACTACAAAAATTCCAGACTCCCAAAAGAAAAGCAAGTGCTCATCATAAATCACATTGTTTGTACAGTTTAGGTATAGCAAGTCACTCTTATCAGTCAGGGAATGATTAAATGCCAAATTCCCAGATGTAAGCCAAGGGCCAACCTTGCAAGCAGGCCCCTCTAAAGATAGTAACTTCAGACATGCTATGTTAACTGTCTTCTGCACTGTAGGTCCCCTTGACCCTTGCTTTTACAAGTGAAATTTCTTTCTTTCTTTCTTTCTTTCTTTCTTTCTTTCTTTCTTTCTTTCTTTCTTTCTTTTGTAGGCTCCACACCCAATATGGGGCTCATACTCAACCTTGAAATCAAGAGTCGCAGGCTCGACCCACTGAGCCAGCTAGGCACCTCTCCAGTTAAATTAGTATCAGTGGGAGTCTGTGGGGCAGGGTGAGGCTAACCTGTGTATTGACCTCAGTCATGGTTCCATGGGTCCTGAATTGAGCTGGGTAAAACAAATCACATTTGCCATCAAGCTCTATCTGAAGTTTCTATACTAACCTATTCCTACCTGGCCTGAGCCATCAATTCAGGCCCAGTGCGGCTTTGGCAGGGAAATTGAAGGGACCTGAAAGCCTTCCAAGGCGGAGGCACTGTCCTAATAGAAAGGATGTGTGCATTACAAGTGCAGACCCTGAGGGCACACGTGGTCTCCCTGGAAACAGAGGGTTTATAAATGTGAAGGCACCCCATGCAGACATATATTAATCAGTGTCTACCGCATTACATTTCTTATAAAACTTCCCCTTTTATTTCTTTTACTCCATAATCTAACAGGGCCTGCTTTTTTTTTAAGATTTTATTTATTCATTCATGACAGAGAGAGAGAGGCAGAGACACAGGCAGAGGGAGAAGCAGGCTCCATGCAGGGAGCCCAGAACGGGGCCTGTTTTGTGTGGTTTGTCATTACAGTAATTGCTAACCCTTTTATAATTAGATTTCACCTAAAAAGTTGTTTTTTTCTGCTTCTTTTGGCAGGATTACCACTGGTGGTGGAGAGCTTTTTTTACCAGCAGTTTCACGGCTGTTTATCTCTTTATGTATGCGGTTCATTACTTCTTCACCAAACTTCAAATCACTGGCATTGCAAGCATCATTTTATACTTTGGGTACATGATGGTTATGGTCCTGATTTTCTTCCTTTTCACAGGTAACCATAGAATTATTTCACACATTTCAGACTCTGTGAAGAGACTTGGAGATAGTCCTAATGTAATAACCATCAATTAGCAATTAATGGAAGGAATAGGGAACAAAGTCATCATGTTCATTTTTATGCTTTGGGGATAAAAGATTGCAAAGCCTGGGGAACTGGAGGGACCTTATGTACTTAGCTTTCAGGTTGTCCCTTGTGAATGTCTTTAAACAGTAGGGATGTCTTCCAAAGCACAGAAAGGGTTATGTGTAATCACCTTTGAATAGCCTCCAAGCATAAACATTAGCTGGCTTGAATGACTTTTAAATTAGCAAAAATAGATTAAGTAAATGTGTGGTCATATAAGCAATTAGAGGCAGGGGACAAGATGTATACCTCTCAGGATTACTCATTTGGGGTTGTTATTTGGGTTTTAGATGAGATGGCAACTCTCATTTAGATTAATGCTTAACGTAGGCGACAAATTGAATGGTTTTTAAGATGATCCAGTTAGAGAAATAATTAAGTTGGAGAGCTTGGAATCCTTTTCAGGATGAGCGAGGCAACGTTCCACTCTATCTGCCTCACTTTAAAAAAAATAGAGATTTTATTTTTAAGTAATCTCCATAAACCACATGGGGCTGGAATTTACAACCCCGAGATCGAGGGTCCCATGTTTCACCAACCCAGCCAGCCTCGCGCCCCTCTACTTGCTTCACTTTGAAGTTCTGGTTTTTGCTCAAGTCATATGATGTATGTAGGTCACTTGGACAAATTTCAAGTATTGTCTCTGATTTGAACTCTCAGGTTCAACAGATACGTAAAAATCAACAGTGGAAATTTGTCAGAAATTAGAGACTTAAGGCAAGTGTAAGTGTTACTTGAGAAACCAAGGCATCTTGGAGATGGCTCATTTTTAAATATTGTATTACCTGTGAACTTCCAGTCTCAACTCCTCAGTACACAGAAGACTGTGCAGGATTCCTCTCATCTCTCCGACACCAGATGTTTTATTTAAACCTGAAGGCCTGAGAATGTCTCACCATTCTAGTCTAACCAGGCTCCTCATATGTTTTGCAGTTTTTCTAACTTTGTATTGAAATAGGCATACAGAGAAGTGCATACAACATATGGCAGCAACTGCTGCCAGTGTTAATAAATGGTATATGATCAGCACCCTGAAAGCCACTTCTCTCCACTCACCTTACTCAAAGGCAACCATTCCCCTGACTCTTAGCAGTTCCCCTGACTCTTAGCAGCATGGATTAATTTGACCTGTTTTTGAATTGTGTGTAAATGAAATCCTATAGGATGTACTCTTTTATGTCTGCTTTGTTTTCCTCAGTATTGTCAGTGCGGATCTTCATGATGCTCTGTGTAGATGTTGTCTACACCCCTCATGTCTTTTTTAAAAGATTTTATTTATTTATTCATGAGAGACGAGAGAGAGAGAGAGAGAGAGAGAGAGAGAGAGAGAGAGAGAGAGAGGCAGAGAGAGAGGCAGAGGGAGAAGCAGGCTCCATGCAGGGAGCCCGACGTGGGACTCGATCCTGGGTTTCCAGGATCACACCCTGGGCCGAAGGCAGCGCCAAACCACTGAGCCACTGGGACTGCCCACCCCTCATATCTTTTGTTTTGGATTTCTCTCCCAGTGAGTGACTGGATTTTCTATTTGGGTGATGTGCAGTTGGATGTGTCTCACACAGTGATTTTAGGCTTCTGTTTTCTTCAATACCGAGCACTTTGACTCAGGTTGCTTTTTTCTGGGAGTCTTGGATGACAACAGCTTCTTTCCAAAGGTAGATAGAATCTTGAATGGTCACACTGCTGACAGAAATGTCCCATTGGTTGGCTCCACCACTTGCCATCTCTTCTGTCACACCCTACTGGATACTGACTCTTAAAGATTCCCAGTGATCCCTTGACAGATCTAATGGCTTTCTCTAGCTTTCAGTCTCCTTGGCTTCTGCAGCTAACTACTTAGCACCTATTCTGTGAAACCCAATACGATTTGCATCACTCTGGGACTTCCTTTGCTTCCCTTCTTCTTCCTATCACCTTTTTCTAACCTTTATACAAGGTTTAATCTTTAGCGTTTCAGTACCCTCTTTGTACCCTCTCCCTTTCAGAGCTCATTAAGTCCCATGGCTTTGTTTACCTCCTCAATGCTGACAGATCCTAAGTCTGTATCCCAAGATATAACCTCTATGCGGTTAGATTCTGAACATTTGCATGTCCCGTTGGTACCGCCAACTCAACACACCCACTCCAGTGAGTGTAGCACTTCCTTTCCACAAGACTGACTCATTTTAATTTCTTTCCATCTTTGACCATTATCTTTTTTTTAAAGATTTATTTATTTATTTGAGAGAGAGAGAGAGAGAGAGAGAGAGAGAGAGAGAGCATGGAGAGGAGGGACAGAGCGGGAGGGAGAGAAAGAAGCAGACTCCTTGTGACTGCAGATCCCTATGGGGGACTCAATCCCACAACTCCAAATTTACAACCTGAGCTAAAATCAAGAGTCAGATGCTCAACTGGCTGAGCCACCCAGGCGCCCCTTTGCCCATCATCTTTTTTTAAAAGGTTTTATATATTTATTTGAAATAGAATGAGAGAGCAGGAATCGGGGCAGGGGGGGAGGGGTAGAGGGTGAGGGAGAAGCAGGCTCCCTGCTGAGCAGCAAGCCTAACATGGGGCTTGATCTCATGACCCTGAGATCATGACCTGAGCTGAAATCAAGAGTCGGACACTCAATAGACTGAGCCACCCAGGTGTCTCATGAAGTGTGTTTTTGACATCTATTTTCTAGAACTGTTCTTTAAGAAGCCCTATCTGCTTATAGACCCTTAAATGGCATCTTTTTACATTTCATCATTGTATGTATTTTTTCTATTGAATTACTTTTATTTTTTTCATCATCATTATGTTTTGAGGTTCACAGCAGGAAGCAAGGCTTATTGCTTATGTTCATGTTGTTTCACTTTTGAGGAAGACATCCTTAATTAAATCATTAGTCTTGAGACTATAGATGTACACAAAAGTACAGTTATTAATTGCTGATTACTCTTTCTTGCTGTAGACAAACACTTCTGAGAGGACTTTTTAAAAAAATGGCAACTTGAAAATTAGCAATATCCACTCATGTTAAAAATGCTGAGGAGTTTCACACTTATTTAGAATAATTATGCATTCATCCAAAGTTCTTCCTTGTGGTCACCACATTTGTCTTTGGTATTTGGATTCATCTGTGTCATTACAGCAGAAGGATAATATTTCACAGCTGTCATCTTTCAATATTGAGTATTGTGACTGTGTGGAAGATTATTTATATGCTAAGTATATTCCCATGTTGCTACAAATCCTATATTTTTATTTATTTTTTTTTTTAAATTATTTAAGTAAAATCTACATAGGGCTTGAACTCATGACCTTGAGATCAAGAGTCACATGGTCTTCCAACTGAGCCAACTAGGCACCCCAAATATGAGTCGTTTATATTTATCATTTGTAAGGCTGTTTAATATATTGAGCAGATTGCTTAACTATTTCTTGCCTATCAAACTTTTTTTTTCTGTTTTGAATTATTTCCTTAACATAGTCTGTGAAATGGGATAGCAGGGTCAAAAAGCATGAATGTTTTTATGGTTCTTTATGCTCTTCTGCCATTAGCACAGTGTATTGGGTTTCCCTACAACCTTGGCTGGCATTGAGTATTATTGGTGAAAAAACAAACAAAACAAAACCCCAAAAGTGTTTGCCTTTTTGTTACCACAGTACATCTAAAATGGCATCCCATTGTTTTCTTCCTCTCATTTTTTGAGCCAAAGGAAGTGATGTGCATCGTGGCTGTTGTTCCTCTACCCAATTTTCATTTGGCAGCACATTTATAGATTTGTAAACAACATGTCAAAGAAGGATTCAAGGGACAGGGAGAGGGAAGATAAGTCATAGTATATCAACAATATCATTAAAGGGTACCAGGAGGGAAACCTTGTACTGTATAGGCTAAGAAAAATAAATTTAAGTGTGAGTGACTTGCCCCAAATCCTAACTGGTTTTAAAAAACTAGTTTAACAGCTGGTTACGTTAGTTAAAAAAGAAACTAAGTCTGTGCATTACTGAGTAGCTATGCTCTTTTCTGATAGTTTTCCTCTCATTTCTAATGGATGCTCATTGATGGTTCACGTATGGATACTTGGTCTTGATTGGAGGGTAGTTAGTGAATTTTTATTTGAATCAAGTTGTGTTTTAGATATCAACAAATGAGTCAGTCTTTTTTTAAAAGTTTTATTTTTAAGTAATCTCTACACCCAATGCGGGGCTTGAACTTGAGATTGAACTGAGATTGAGTCACATGCTCTATTGAACTGAGCCACCCAGGTGACCCAAATGAGTTAGTCTTCGAAAATGAATTGAAAGAATGTATTCTTATTTTGATAGGAAAGACATAAAATCACAATAACCAATTAAGATGTAACACTTAGGATTCCTTCTTTAAAAGTCTAAAGTGCTAGGTTGTATTATAATAATGGTATTTATAGCCTAATGTAAACCTTGGCATTGCTATTCGGTAGTAAATGAAATCTTTTATGTGATGACGTATATGTTAGGCAAGCAATGAAAAATGTTTGCATTTAGCCACAGTCTATTATTCAGCCATGGTCTATTATTCTAGAGCATTGTTTCTCAACCATGGGTGAATTTGCTTCTTAGGGAACATTTAGCAATATTTGAGACATTTTTAATTGTCATGACTGGAAGAGTGCTAGAAACATCTAGTGAGTAGAGGCCAGGAATTCTGCTAAGCATCCTACTATGTGCAGAACAGCCCTCTACAACAAAGAATTATCTGGCCCAAAATGTCGGTAGTGCCACTGTTAAGAAACCCTGGTCTTGAGTGAACTACTTGTGAACCTCACTTTTACTTAGGAGTTAATGCTATTTTCAAAATACTGTTTTGATTGTCTCAAGAATCAAGTTTATGTTTAGAATCTGAGACTCTGAACCACCAAGCA